TTAGTTGGTAGCAATATAGAAGTGAGAAATGCCGTTCAAACAAAACAAAGCATGGGGCCAGGAAAATGGCTCAGAGGTGAGAGCACCATCAGTTCTCCCAGAGGTCCTGACTTCAATTCTCAGCAACCAGGCTCACAACCATCTGGAAGGAGATATGGTGCCCTCTTCTGGCCTGCAGGCAGACATGCAGGCTGAATACAGTATACATAGCAATTAAGTTAATCTAAAAAAAACAAAAAACAAAACCCCCACAAACAAAACCCAAAGCAAAGCATATACCCCTTTACCTATAATATAGAAGAGTAAAGCTCTTTAGCAACATAATATATATATATATGTAGATATATGTATGTATATGGTTATATGGTATTTTATCTGAAGAAACATAGTTATAGAATAAAAACAATTTTCAACATGAAAATTTAACTGCCATAAATATTAAATTAGTAATAAAAGATGTCCAAAACCAAAACGGATAACCTAATGATCATACTATCTACTTGAGACCACAGTTTTAGTTCATCTGACATTTATTACTTCATACATTCATCTGTTGAGTGTTTGCTGATCACTGACTACACATCAGGCTATGTGGCTACATTACTGAACACAGAGGTAAATAAAATAAAACAGACCCCAGCAATAGGACGGGCATCAAATAATACACATGATTACATTTAGCAAAAACAAAAAGTATACAGCTGCTGGCAGAATACCATTTTTAATGTGTTTTTCTAGAGAGATAATTTTGAAAATGCCATATTCCAACTCAGTGGTTTTCTATTCTGGCTACTAAAAACAATCATTTGGACAGATAAAAAGAAAAGTAAACCCCACTCCCCAAAAGCAGGTCCACATCACCCATCTTCACTCTCTACCTACACCCTAGCATTTACTGACTGTCAAAAACTGGTTTATTCCAAGGAGACTAGACTTTGGATCTAGAACAGTTTTATATTAAAAGAGTACCTAAGTATTTTTTATATAACTGAGTTTCAGTTTACTACCGGATGCATATTTGAAGTCCATGGGCACCTCTGACTTGTAGATTTGCTTAGTTTTTGTTTTAAAGAAAAGGAAAAATAACCTGCTTGATGTGGGATGCCCCTCTGTATGGTATGAACATGTTTTACTGGCAATGGCTCATAAAGAAGCTCTTATGGCTTATGGCAGCGCACAATATAAGTAGGCATGCAGGGAGAGAAGAAGGTGGAATCAAGCAGATGCATTTAGCTGCTGAAGGAGAAAGACTCCTTTAGTTTACCAGTAAGTTAGAGCCTTATTGTGAAACATAAAATAATAGAAATGAGGTAATTTAATATGTAAGAGCTATCTAGGAATATGCCTGAACCACTGGCTAAATGGTGTTGTAATAAATATAGTTTCTGTGTGGCTGGGAAATGAACATGTACTCTCTATTTACATAATGGTACCCAATGTGGGGAATGAACCCATGACCCTGAGATTAAGAGATTTAAGAGTCCTGGGCTCTAAAATGAAAGTGCAGTCTCTGATTACATAATGGTGCCCAAATGTTTGAGGCTATCCAGTGTGGCCAGCCACCCGCTTCTGTCTGGGTGTTTGTACATCCACTTGGGGTTAGAAGAAATGTAGCTGAGAGCACAACTATGGCTGAGCACTCTCCGTGTGGTGGGGTCAGGTCTGCTGGGCGTGCATAGGCAGGAAAAGCACGGCCTATTCCTGCTGTCACACAGAGACATTTCCAGGCCATGCAGTGTGCTGCATGGCAGTTTTAGCTTTTACTCTGACAAAAAAAAAAAAAGGGCTTATGTGCTGCATGCTGCTTCCCAGAGTTGAGGTGGTGAGCACGGCTCCCACCCAGCAGTTCCAGAGCTGGCTGTGATCGTACCTCTGCCATGTTAAAAGGCTGAAAGAGGCCACACTGCTTACTACTTTAAAAGTGCTCCTTATCAGAAAAGATTTCAGATACACAATAGGACAGATCCAGACAAAAGACCTCTAAACAAGACACAGTGTGTTTAAAAAGTGTACTTAGGCTTGGGAGAGAGAGGAAAACGAACACAGACAGTTACAAAAAGAAATAGTTTTAAAAAAAAAACAAAGTCTTTAAAGAGACAGTAAAAGTAATATAAAAAAGCAACATAAAGCCAGAAGGTGGTGGCCTATACCTGCAGACGCAGGCGGATCTCTGTGAATTCAGGTCCAGACTGGTCTACAAGAGCTAATTACATGACAGGCTTTGGAAGCTACAGAGAAACCCAAAACAAAACAAAAAAACCCAACCAACCAACCAAACAAAAGATGAAAAATACACAAAGTCTGGATTATGTATATCATTGTGTTTTCTTCGAATTTTTTTTTTTTGACTGCAGAGAGACATTTGATTCTGGGGGCTATTAAACTAAACCAACACACACACACACACACACACACACACACACACACACACACACACATGTATATATGTATATGGTATCTTGACTTCAAAATTTGAGTCTAAGGATATGTTACTTTGGAAAAGAGGTTCTGCTTTTGTTTCCACAGAAGATGAGAACCTGTGGATTCCTTCCAGGCTAATGTGGTTTGACGGAACATGACTCTCTGAAAGGTCTCCATGAACCCTAAAAATACTTCACCCAACAAAGAGCAGACAGCAGTTTGGAGAAAGCTATACCCAAATTTTCAAAATGATTGTTTATATATGTTTATTTTCATTTAAAAGGGGTTGGGTATAAATCGTTAATGGTCACAGTCAATCTCTTTTTTTTAAGGGGAGATATCACAGAGATGAATACTTTGCATTGGTATAAATGGTATAAATCTTGGTTTATTGATGCAAATTTAAGGTCCATTTCTTTTTTTTTTTTTTCGAGACAGGGTTTCTCCGTAGCTTTTTGGTTCCTGTCCTGGAACTAGCTCTTGTAGACCAGGCTGGCCTTGAACTCACAGAGATCCGCCTGCCTCTGCCTCCCAAGTGCTGGGATCAAAGGTGTGCGCCACCACCGCCCGGCTAAGGTCCGTTTCTTATATATATATTTCTACTCTTGTTTAAGGTTTTAAGGTTTTACAGCTCATTTAAAAATGCAATGTATAATTAAAAATTATGGATTAATAGTCATTTACGATAGTCAAACTTATATTATGTTTTCTAGATATATAGAGATAATATGGCATTTAAAATATTTAAGAACTTAAGACTTTTCTTGGCAGTGAGACATGTTTGCTTTTGGCAGCACCAATCTGCTTCAAGAGGATGATGGGCATTGAAGAGGCTCCTTATGGAGTTTACTAGCTATTTGGGCAAGACACTGTTCTTGCCTGGACTGCTTGATGGTGTACTGTATAAGCTGGACACACAGAACCCACAAAAAAAAAAATGACTACTGAACTTGCCAGAAGAAGGCAAGACAATCATTCAGGGTTACTGGTTCACGAAAGAGTCTTCCAGACATTCTGCAGGACACAGAAGAAAGTGAGTGGTAAACTGCCAATATAGGTGAAATAGTCTTTCAAATTTCCTGCTTCAAGGAAAAGTCTGCCAGATACTATGAGCCTATAGGCTGAAGATGGATGCCTCAATGTTACAAAAGAAATTTGGGTGACTGTCCAGGCGACGAGATGTCCCTGTCATTTCTAGATCTTTGGAAGTTGCTTATAATGTACTTCCTGTTTACTTAGGTAATATTTTATCCTTCTGGGGTCTCTGGTGGAGTTGAAGACAGGTATAGTTTTCCTTAGTTATGATCAAAGATATATTAGATATGAAACTTTAGACTCACAAAGATAAAATAGATAGAATATTTTCTTTAATTTTGCCAGATTCAAAAGACTAAATATTGTAACTGTAATTCTTGCTTGATACCTGTTTTGTTATATGTATTTTTACTATGTTAAATTTAAAGTCTTCCTTTTTATTTAGACAGTAAAGTGGAGATGATGTGGGATTGCCTTCTGTATGCTATGAATATGTTTTATTAGCATTGGTTAATAAAGAAGCTCCTTTGGCTTATGGCAGGGCAGAATATAGGTAGGCAGGAAAACTAAAAAGAATGCAGGGAGAAAAAAGGTGGAATCAGGCAGATGCCATGTAGCTGCCAAAAGAGAAAGACTCTGGAACCTTACTGGTAAGCCAAGGCCTCGTGGCAATACATAAATGAATAGAAACGGGCTAATTGAAGATGTAAGAGCTAGCCAGAAATATGCCTGAACCCTTGGCTAAACAGTGTAGTAATTAATACAGTTTCTGTGTGATTATTCGGGTCTGGGTGGCAGGGAAATGAACACACAGTCTCCATTTGCACCTATCCAATATTTAACACTTGGGAAGTTTCAACTCTGATGAGTCTTGTTCACAGCAATGGGTTGGAGCCCAGAAGTAGTGCTCCCTTGTTCTTATGACTATCCCCGCTACTACCTTCTTTGTTTGCATAGATCATGCCTGGCTCTTTACTACTTACACCTTACCACTGTTTTGAGAACGCTATTCCTCTCATTGTGGAAGAAGAACCACAAAGAGGGTGTCTTAGGATTCTATTGCTATGAAAAGACACAACAACCAAGGAAATTCTTATATAAGAAACATTTAATTGGTGCTTCCTTATAGTTTTAGAGGGTTAGTCCCTCATCATGGCGAACAACATGGTGGTATGCAGGCAGGTGCGGTGCTGAGAAGTTGCTGAGAGCTTTATATCCTGATTAGCAGGCAGCAGAGAGAGAAAGGGAGGGAGGGAGGGAGGGAGGGAGGGAGGGAGGGAGGGAGAGGGGAGAGAAAGAGGGCCTAGTTTTTCAAACTGCTCATTAACCGGGGACTAAGAATGAATATATGAGTCTACGGGAGGCATTCTCATTCAAACCACCAAAGGGTATCTGTAGACAATACTGTTCTGTTTTATATTTAAAAAGATGCAGTGAATGCCTTTTCCCCTCCCAAACTCAACACTCACCATTCCCACAGCATAGGAATAAAGTGCTATCTGTACACATTAAAATGCTTTTCTTTACATGGCAGCAGGGCTTACCTTCAGATCAAGGCTGCTAAGGCTTACAACATCATCATCTTTCTCTCTTCGCTTTCTTTTCTAAGGAAAAAAAAAAGATTTGATTTATACATAGAACTAAATGTTACTGTATTAGACAAAGATTCCACGCAACTAGAAAAAAATCATTCCAAGGAGCTGCAGCAGTTAAGAATGCTGGCTGCTCTTTCATTGGACAGGAGTTCTGGTCCCAGCACCTATGTCAGCAGCTCATAACCACCTGTAACTCCAGCTCCACACTGGACAGGGTTACACACACAATGCCCTTTTCAGACCTCTGTGTGCATACACACACACACATAAAATAAATATTTAAAAAAAAAGTATATTGATTAGGGAAACTTACAAATTATCTCTGGAATTGCACTGCCTAAAACAGTACCCTCTGACTAAGTGCTCTCTTGCTGAAGTCATTCGACACCACTATGTGTGTTTCAGACTAGAACTCATGTAAGTTATGAGACATCTGCTCATAAAAGGAAAGTATTTTATTATAGAAATGCAAGTTTTATGAAAGGAACTTACTGTTTATCAAGGGGTGAGGGAAGTCTGTTTGTGTGTGTGGGGGGGGCATCCTCTTCTCAAAGCCCAAACTCGAATTTATTACCTGAAGCAGGATTTATCAAATGGAAGAGGAACATCTATGTCCTGGAATGACCCGGGTAATCATTTAGCACTGCCTGGTGCAGGGGTAGCATAACTGTGTACATATCTATCATTTATAGTTCTTAATCAATTATGCATAAACACCATTAAGTAGCATTTTATCATTTCACATCTTAAAATAACACATTCCTTGGGACCCAGACTAGCTCTTGAAAACACCTAAAACTAACCATCTAAGGTTCTCTTCAGTTCCTGGCCCCATGAGAAGAGAAGGCTTGGAGTTCAATTACAATTGAACAAAATAGCTAAAAGAGAAAAGAAAACTTCTGGATAGATGCAGGGGGAATAACAGAGCCAGAGAGCAGAAAAAGCAGCACCCATGGAAATGAGAGGAAGTCTGTGACGTTAGAAAAGTCATCTAAGCCCCTTTGTAAAAGGGAAAGAAACAAGAGAAATTAATTTAAGTGGAAAAAAAATCTCAAATTCAAATCCTATAAAAATCATCCTGTGGGAGGTGGCTCAGCTGAGAAGAGCACTTGATGGTCTTGTAGGGGACCCAGATCTTATTCCCAGCACCCACAACTCCAGTTCCAGAGGATCTAATACCCTCTTCTGACCTCCATGGGCACCAAGCAGGAATGTGGTACATACATGTAAGCAAAACACACATAAAACAAAATGAACAGATCTAATTAAAACCAACCCCCCAAACCAAAATTACTCCGGTGGGGGGGGGGGGGGAGCAGAATACCACACTACTAGGCAATGAAGGCACACCAGATTTTTTTTTTTTTAAGTCACCATTCTCAACTGAGTTTAACAAGCACTGGAAAATGATATAAGAAATGAAGAAACATTATAAATCAGAACTGGGAAAAACTTCAGAACTAAAGAGATAGATTTTAAATCTTTATTTACTTGAAGGTCATGTTAAAAAAAAAAAGAAAAAACAGGAAGGTATGAACGATGTGATCATGGCTTTGCAAAGCCAGCTAACCCCAAGTCCTTAAGTATTTCTACCTATCTGAGGAACCTGCACATTAACAGGCAAACAATAGTAATGAAATCTAGAGCAATACGCATGGAGTTGCTGACAGGGGTCAGGAGACACTGGAGACGCACAAGTCTCCAGGGGGAAGGGAGACACTGTGAAGCAAAGGAAGAGAATGAGGGAAAAAGCACATGACCATATGAGTTGTAAATACAGGTGTTCCCACAGGAACAGAGAAAGCTAACAGGATTTGAGATGGTGTACTGTTGCTCTCTTCAAAAACCTTCAGGTTTTATTTGTTTATATCTACCTAGAAGTTACTTTTGTGAATATGCAGCAATCAGCTGCCTCTTTCTACCCTACACTGTTTGCCAAGAGTCCCATTCACTGGTTATCATACCAGTGGATAGAGAAAATTCTCAAGCGTGTGGGTGTTGTGGTTTGGATGTGAAATGTTCTCTGCAAGCTATTCATGAATTGAAGGCTTGGTCCTGACACAAGCAGTGTTTAGAGAAGGGACTTCTGGGTAAATGACCGCATCAGGAGGCTCCTACCTTCATCAGTGATAATCCAGCCATAGGAACAACCCCAAAGACAACTGGGAGTTTAGAACTATAGGAGGAGCCTAGTTGGAGAAAGTGGATTGCTGTGAGTATGCTCTGGAAAGACAGACTATGCCTGGCCCCTTCCTGTCTCTCTGGATTCTTGGTTTTGTTTCCTGGTCTACTTACCAAATGTGTGTCCCTATCATGCTGTGCCTTAACTAGCAGCAGTTACAGGCACCCTAATCTGTACAGTTGTGTTCTGGGTCTCCTTCCATGGGAACTGTAGAAGGGGGGCTAGGGAACTCTAATCAGATCTCTTTTAAAATTACACAAGATATGGAGTCTTTCAAGGAGAACTGACTTTTTGTTATGGCAATCTTTTCCTGCATGAAGATTAGAGGATCTCTCTTCTCAACCAGCTCTTCCATGCTTAATGCTTCCTAGATTTTCCCATAAGTATTATTTTCATGGATTTATTTCTACTAAATTTGATACTATTTTCACAATAAAACATCCTTGCCCTAAAAATGGCAAGGGGATTCCTCTGTCTTGAGGTAGCCAACAGCAGATAATCAATCACTCATTTTTTATATATGTATATATATATAAATACATATAATCTATAGTCAAGCATTTATATATTTTTAAACATAGTATAAAAAGTTGTCAAGAATGTACATAAAACAATGCCTTGCTTTATAGCACTCAAAGGAACAGAAAGGTCCAGCGTTAAAGATGAATTTATATGGGTGCTTTGAAAAATGTTTCATTTACTTGAAATAAAACTTCCAGCTTTTGGCAACAAAGGACTAAATAAGGTTGCCAATAGGGCTTTAGAAGTTCTGCTTCATGAGCTACTCAGAGCACAACTGAGTTGTAGGAAAATGAAAGACAGTCAGGGATAGATCCCAATGTTTTGAAAATCCAGTTATCTACTCACCAAAGTGAAGTCCCAGTGAGGGCCAGGTGTTAAAAACGTGAAGGAGCTGCCTCTCCGAAGGGAGCATCTGTTGACAAAAGAGTCAGACAAACAGAGTAAGTTCCATGTAGTAAGGTGACCAGCAGATAAAAAGCCATCCTGTTTGCAGTCTCCAAACTAGTTAAAACAGTGATCCAGGGCCAGCAGCTGGAGAGCACACTGTCCTTCTGGCCAGTATACATACATAACAGGGCATATGCCGTCCCCAGAATCTCTGCACTGAAAAGACTATATAAAATTAATGGAGGGACAACTATTAAAAAACAATTCTCCAAAGCAAACAGAGTTCATCTTGGTAATATATATATATAAAACTCAACAATATAAAATCTACTAATATACAACAACAGCTTTAATATTTTATTAATAATAAAAAACAGCAAGTGAATTTATAACTATATTTGGTACAATTCAAAACTTATGTCCATATTTAAAAATAAATGAAAAACTAACATATTAAAGCCAAAATGTTATTTACATGAATGCAAATCTCTTTTGATTTTTGCCAATTAGAATTAAAGCAAGAGAGTCCCGTTACAGAATCTACCTTTACCTTTCTAAAATACAGGCCTGTATATACACAAGATGGAAATATCTGTATTTACAAATATGTTTAAAAATAATCACAAAACATGGCACAGGTGATGCTCATCAGCTGTACTGTTAATCACTTGAGAATATAGACTGTGGAACAAAGATGGTTTTCCTCTCATGTGGATAAACGGCAGCCAAATAAGGAGAGCAGAAGCAAGGTAGTTAAGTTGTCATCACTTGCCCTTTGGCAGAGGCTCAAAAAAGTAAGAGGAGTGTGACCTTTATAATGGAACAAAATGGGGGTGGGGAGAGCTCAAGTTTAACCCGGATGGAGCTGACATGGGGAAGCTGTTGGTAGGCTAACCAGAAGAGAAAGACATGGAGTGCTAATCTATTGTGACCGGAGAGAAGGTATGTATTTGGCCTTTTTTGCTTATAAATGTAGGGCTGAAGAGATGGCGCACTGGTTAAGAGCACTTGCTAATCTTGTAGAGGACTTAGGATCCCAACACCCACATGATGGTTCACAACCACCTGGAACTAGAACTCCTAGGATCTGATGTCCTCTTGGCCTTCATGGACACTAGACACATAGTGCACATATACACATACAATCAAAATACAAATTTTATTTTTAAAAAATCTTTAAAAAACAATTTAAGACATAAGCAGGACAAAAATTGAATGTAGACGGTTACTAATAAATTTCTAGCTATTTTAGATCAATTGTTATACAAGTTATTATTTAGCTTCTTAAGGCCAGGTCATGGTCTATTTTTAAATCTGACCCTTACCATGCCTCTCATGCACATTCTTTCTTTACCATAAATTTCCATAACATTACAGATGGCAAAAGCTTCAAGCTGAAATCAAGTACAAGGATTCCTATACTTTTCTGAGTTAAATAGAAAGAAGTCTGTATTTCAGCAAGGACAATAAAGGAAACATGGCTATCAGAAAAGCCTCACCAGACAACAGTAAAGTTGGCTGTTAAGGGAGTTTAGCCTATAAGAGGCACCAGTCATCACAGCTGTCACTCTACATCACTCTAATACTGCATGAAGCTGTAATGAAGATGAAAAAACCCTTTCCTCCCTAAGGTGCTTTTGCTCATGCTGTTTATCACAGCAATAGAAAGCCAACTAGGAAAAGTATGATGGAGAATTATAAAACCAAAGCTATAAATTAATTACATACAACTATACTAACCTTAGAATTTGATGTCTTGACAGTTGGAAACAAAAACTAGCTCTTGAGAATCTTTAAAAACGCTAACTGGAGACGTGACGGCGGCCCTGCGAGCCAGCTCAAACACGCCGGCGTCCCTTTGATTTGTTCACTTTGGTGGCTTTTCTCTCTGTTCCCTTTCCGGCCCAATTGCTATTCATCAGCCTGGTGTCTGCTCCAATTTTTGTTTTTGAGTCATTTATTTCAGACTTAGGCCACGTGGACTCAAGTGGACTCTTTCGCCACCACTGGCAGGAACTGGTCACTACAGATGCGGCGGGGACCGGCGCGGCGGCAGACGCAAGCAGTGGGGATGGGCGCGCGATAAGGAGAGCAGATCGCCCCACTACAATTAAATCAAAGAGGTAGGCCTTTTGTTGGCAAGGTCACTGGCAAACGGGGAGCCTGGTACTGATACGGAAGACCCTTCGGTGGGGTGAGAGGGTTCTTGGCCTGCGGCAGGAACCAGGAAACAGCGAGGGCAGTTGGTAAGTGGAACCCTTGGCCAGTAGGGAAACCTGATCTGGATTTAAAAGACCCATTAGATAGGATCAATAGGAAGAGATGGGCAGGCGCCAAGGCAAGAATTCACCCAATAATCTGAAAAACAACATGAAAACACCAGAACCCAATGATCTTACAACAGAAGTATTTGAACACCCTAACACAAAAGAAGTGGAAAAAATTGACTTTATGAAAGCAATAGAGTCCCTTAAACAACATGTAAAAAACGCCCTTATAGAAATGGATGAGAAGTATAACAAAAAGTTTGAAGAAATGAGTAAATACGTGCATGATACCCTGGGAAACCAAGAAAAAACGATCAAACAGGTAATGGAAACAGTTCAAGAATTGAAAACTGAAATGAAGGCAAGGAAGAAAATACAAACTGAGGACCAGCTGGATATGGAAAATCTAGGTCAGCGAGCAGAGTCTACAGAAACAAGCATAATCAATAGAATACAAGAGCTAGAAGAAAGAATCTCAGATGTTGAGGACACCATAGAGAAAATAAATGAACAGATCAAAGAAAACAGCAAAGCCAACAAATTCTCAACACAAAACATTCAGGAAATATGGGACACAATAAAAAGACCAAACCTAAGAATAACAGGAATAGAAGAAGGAGAAGAGTCACAGCTCAAAGGCCCAGAAAATATTTTTAATAAAATTATGAAAGAAAACTTTCCCAACATAAAGAAAGATATTCATTTAAATATTCAAGAAGCATACAGAACACCAAACAGACTGGATCAAAGAAAAACATCTCCTCGCCATATAATAATCAAAACACAAAATATACAGGTTAAAGAAAGAATATTAAGAGCTGCAAAAGAAAAAGGGCAAGTAACTTATAAAGGTAAACCGATCAGACTTACACCTGACTTCTCTATGGAAACCATGAAAGCCAGAAGGTCCTGGATAGATGTACTGCAAAAGCTAAGAGACCATGGATGCAAACCCAAACTACTATACCCAGCCAAGCTATTGTTCACCATCAATGGAGAAAACAAGACATTCCAGGATAAGAACAAATTTAAACAATACGTAGCCACAAATCCAGCCCTACAGAAAGTAATAGAAGGAAAATCGCAACCCAAGGAATCCAACATTGCCAACACTGCCTACAATAACTCAGGCATCTAGCGACCCTTCACCAGCACATCTCAAAGAAGGGAGACACACAAATTCTACTACCAAAAACAATAAGAATAACCAGAATAAACAACCACTGGTCATTAATATCACTTAATATTAATGGGCTCAATTCACCTATAAAAAGGCACAGGCTAAGAGATTGGATACGAAAACAGGATCCAACATTCTGCTGTTTGCAAGAAACACATCTCAACCACAAAGACAGGCATCTACTCAGATTAAAGGGCTGGGAAAAGGTTTTTCAAGCAAACGGTCCTAAGAAAAAAGCAGGTGTAGCCATACTAATTTCTAACAAAACTGACTTCAAACTAAAATCAATCAGAAGAGATCGAGATGGACACTTTATAACAGGAACAATTCATCAGGATGAAGTCTCAATCCTGAATATCTACGCCCCTAATATAAAAGCACCCACTTATGTAAAAAAATATTACTAGAACTCAAGGCAGACATCAAACCACACACACTAGTAGTAGGAGACTTCAACACACCTCTCTCTCCAAGGGACAGGTCAATCAGGCAGAAACCTAATAGAGAATTAAGAGAATTATTAGAGGTAATGAAGCAAATGGACTTAACAGACATCTATAGAACATTCCACCCAAATAGGAAAGAATATACCTTCTTCTCTGCAGCTCATGGAACCTTCTCGAAAATTGACCACATGCTCGGAAACAAAGGAAACCTCCACAGATAAAAAAAATATCAGTGTCCACCTGTGTCTTATCTGATCACCACGGATTAAAGTTAGAAGGCAACAACAATACTACACACAGAAAGCCGACAACTCATGGAAACTGAACACTCAACTACTGAACCACACCTGGGTCAAGGAAGAAATTAAGAAAGTAATTAAAGTCTTCCTTGAATTTAATGAAAATAAAGAGACAACATACTCAAACTTATGGGACACGATGAAAGCAGTGCTAAGAGGAAAGTTCATAGCACTAAGTGCCCACTTAAAGAAAACGGAGAATGCATACATTGGGGACTTAACAACACACCTGAAAGCTCTAGAAAAAAAAAAAGAGGCAGACGTGCCCAGGAGAAGTAGAAGACTGGAAATAATAAAACTGAGGGCGGAAATCAACAAAATAGAAACACAGAAAACAGTCCAAAGAATCAATGAAACAAAAAGTTGGTTCTTGGAGAAAATCAACAAGATCGACAAACCCCTATCCAAACTAATTAAACGACAGAGAGAGAACACACAAGTAAATAAGATCAGAAATGAAAAGGGGGACATAACCACAGACACAGAGGAAATTCAGAGAATCATTAGATCTTACTACAAAAGCCTGTATGCCACAAAACTGGAAAATACAAAAGAAATGGACATTTTTTAAAATAAGTACCATATACCAAAGCTAAACCAAGACCAGGTGAATGATCTAAATAGACCTGTTAGTCGCGAAGAATTAGAAACGGTTATCAAAAATCTCCCTTAGAAAAAAAGCCCAGGACCAGATGGTTTCAATGCAGAATTCTACCAAAACTTCCAAGAAGAACTAATACCTATACTCATTAATGTATTTCACAATATAGAAACAGAAGAGTCATTGCCAAATTCCTTTTATGAAGCTACCGTTACCCTGATACCAAAACCAC